CGCTCACCAGAAAGACAGAGAGACAGAGAGACAGAAAGCAAGAAATCACCCCCCAGGGGGGATGGCCACACTGTAATCCCTTCTCCTCCATTCTCCTCTTGGGATCTTGGGCACGCATGCACATGCTCCCGGTGTGAGTTTAAGCCACCGGGTCGGGGACTTGAACCGCCGTCGACTACATGGGAGTCCAGCGACATAGCCATTCCGCCAACTGCTGGCCCCCTGAGACTCTTTTAGTAGGAGGTCTTTGCTCCAGAGCTCCCTGCTGTGACGTGGTCAGATTTGCGCCACGCCTGAGGTCCTCTCTGCAGATCCTGCTCCCTCCCTTTCATCTTCACAGGTGTGACCCGCTGGCGTGACACCGGCTGCCTTCCCGACGCGTCTCAGCACTGCTGCCCAGGAAGCCGATGCAGCGGTTGGCTCAGGAGCCACAGGGAAGCCGTCTGTGAGCTGTGCGTGCGGAGGCTCTGAATTACAAGGTGTACACAGCTTGTTCACCTAGACAAGGTTCCACCACGAGACCCTGTTTTAGTGCCCACCTGGCTGTGGTGCAAAGTCCCCGTCCCACACACGGTCACCCAGGAGTGAGGACCTCAGAACTCGTTTCCTTTTTTTTTTCTTTAATAATTATTTATTTAATTTTATTAATTATTATTATTTGTTGACTTGACCAGAGAGAGAGAGAGAGAGGGAGAGCAAGAAAGTGAGAAAGCAAGGCCCCAGGTTCAGGACTCGAACCGCGGTTATCCATGTGTGAGACCGATGCCTTCACCACCATATTGCTTGCCGGGCCCCGCACCTTGTTTCTTGAGAGAGAAAGAGGAAGGCTGGGATTTTTCCTGATTCCATACTAAAACCAGTTTATTTTTTTAGAGAGGTTTTTGGCTATAGGGCGTGTGCGCTTGCCAGACAGAGAGAGACAGACAGAGATAGAAAGCAAGAAATCACCCCCAGGGGGGGATGGCCACGTCGCAATCCCTTCTCCTCCATTCTCCTCTCAGGATCTTGGGCACGCACGCACATGCGCCCGGCTTGAGTTTTAAGCCACTGGGTCCGGGATGCAAACCACGGTCGACTACGTGGGAGTCCAGCGACATAGCCATTACGCTAACTGCTAGTCCCACTCAAACCAGTTTTTATTTGAAGATTTACCTTTTCTGCTAGTGCCTCTCTGGAAGGCGAGCTCCTTCTGGAAGGTTTTCCCAGACGCCATGTTTTACAAACAGCAGCCACATTCACATAGGGGTCAGCATGGACAGTCATGAGGCAGGTGGGCTTCCTCCCACCCCAGGAAGCCATCACGGCAGGGGAGCTGAGAGGTGAGGAGGGTCTGAACCCTGGTAGGCCAGGGGACAGAGCGGAGGTGGGGTGGGAGCGGAGGTCAGATGGGGATGTGTCTTTGGGTGGCCCTGAGGTCACCAGAGTGAGGTGAAGAGTCATTAGTGATCTCCGGGTGGATGATTTACTGAGCTGGGGCCCAGGAGGAGCTGGAGGGAATTTGGGGGAGAAAAGTCACTTCAGCTCAGCTTCTTTGGCTCAGGCACACCTCTGGGGCTTGCAGAGGCCAGGTCCCAGCCGGCTCTAGTTTTCTTTAGTTCTGCTTGCAAAGGCAGAGAGCATGGCCTCCCATCAGGACCTCGCCTCCCCGGGCCTCTCTGCGGGGCTCTCTCCAGCCCCTTGCCCTTGGGCGAGGGGAGCCTGCTGGGGCTCCCGGGCCAGGCTCTTAACACAGGAGGGACTTTCGGATGGCCCACAGCCGACAGCCCCGGGCCTCCACCTGCCAGCCTCTGTTCTCAGAGACAGCATCACCGGCTCTCCGGACTGGAAGGGACACTGGAGGTCAGCCACTGCAGCCTCGGGTTGGCGTGTTCCGGCCGTTTCGATAATTCAAGCGTTCCTCCTTCCATTGTGTGGAACCCATGATCGGCTGCTAATGAAGGGTCCACCGTGGGCCTCCTTCCTAGGGAGAAGCCCGCTGGGCCCTGCATTTGTGGGCCAAGCAGTGAGGGACATGACAAGGCCGGATTTAGGAAGGCGAGTTCTTTTCGTCCTTCACACTATCGCTCCGAGAGTGGTCTCCATGGTTACAGCAGCTTCTCGGAGGTGTCTAGATTTTCATTTCTGTTTTTCCCCCTAAATGTCTAATTTACGAATAATCTGTTTAGGTAGCCTGCTGGACAGTTTCTGCATGTATATGAATATCAAGAACTACGTATTTATATTCAGAACCAAAAAAAGTAGGCTGATCGGCATTTTTGGTACATTTTTTTTTCTCCCACTATAAAAAGAAATTAAGATTGACTTTAAAAATTTCAAGTTAAACAAGATTCAGTGAAAGAAACGCTGCCTTCGTATTCTTCAAAGGCATGTGAGCCATCGCGGGGCTGGAGCTAACCTAATTATGTTTTCTTTAATGTGAAATAGCTCTCTACCTGGCATCCCATCTGCATCCCGCCACCACGTTCAAGTGGCTGGGACATTGATTTTTTTTTTTCCAGGGCTCCCTTTGAACATGAAAGTGTTTCTCGCTCCCCCCTTTTTCCTTCCCCCTTCTGAGAGCCGTGATAAGAATGGATCGATAATTACATTGTCGGATAAAAATGAATATAAATTTTATTGGAAAACAACACGAGCAACGATGAGAGGAAAGCACACTCCACAGCCGCCAGCCCACCCGCGTGGATGCGCGTATCATGAGAAGAAATGACCTCTTCGGCTTCCCAGCCACTGTTCCAAATGGGGGAACATGACAGGCCTCATAGGCCCCCGGCGTGGCCCAGATCACGCCACCTTGGAAGACTGTGCCAGGAGCAAACGACAAAGTGGCGCCATTGTTACCTCTGGGTTTGCTGCGGGCAGACCGAAACGTTCCCAGATTAATTGGTTTTGGAAACAGTGTTTCTGTTGGTCTGGCTTGGACAACTCCAGGCCGCTGAGAAAACTTCTCTAGTCTCCAAGTCCTTGGAGAAGAGGAGCACTTTCTTGGCAACGTTCCCCTCCTGCTTAAGAACAGGAAATAGGTCTTTCTGTCTAGCCGAAACCCTTCATGTCTCAGTTCGTCTATTTACCTCCTAATCTGGGCAGGCTGTGAGGAGCTGCCCTGATGGGACAGTGTAACCTACGGGGACTGGGGACTTACAATGACCGTCATCGGGTTGCAGACCAGTCCCGCGGTGCTGGCTGCACTTCTGAACAGCTCAGGGAGGTTAACTGCAGCTGTGAAGGGCGCCTGCCCACCTGTCCCCACCCTGGGTGCCACCGCGCTCTGCCTGCGGCCTGTGGGCTACCCTTGGGGACCTGACTGCAAACGCGGCTGGCCCTGATCGGTTTCACTCCTTCACTGGCCTCTTTCTGGGTCAAAAACTCCTAATTGCGATCACGTTTCACTTCTCACCGTCCTGCAGACCCCAGGCTTCCTTCACAGATCGCGCGCGGCAAAGACGCGCTCCGTGTACACGGGAGGAAGCTCCGAGAACTCACGAGAAGGCACCGGGTGATGTAAACGTAAAACCTCAAGAGCATGTTTGGAGTTGAGAGTAAAAGCCCTGGTAGGCTGCCCGCCTCGCGGGTTTGTAGCGCCGGCAGCGTCGCACCTGGGTCGCCAGGGGGCGCCCGTGCCATTCCATCGGCTCCCGGACTCCTCGGGCGGGAAACAAAGGCGGGGATTTGAATGAAGCCTCCAAGACGCAACCCCGAATTTCTAGCCTGAGCAGCATGCGTGTAAAAATTCATGAAGATTGGATTTCATTTCATGTATTTTTACTCCAGTGGAAAGAATGCAGGTGACTGCCTGCGCCTACAGCTGCTTTTACACACGCGGTGCCGGGTTGAAGGAGGGCGGAGCTTGCAGGTGGGGGAGTGCAGAGGCCGGCGGTCCTCCGGTGCTGGGGACAACTCCTGCTGGGCGGGGCGGCATCCTCTGCAGGCCCCAGAGCGTATCGATTCGTTCTAGTGCGTATCAGAAGGCACGTCCTTCATTAACAAGTCTCAGCGGAGCTGCCTGGGCAGCCGGGCTGGGTCTGGGGAGCGACGTGGGTCACGGGAGGCGCTTACTGTTTGCACCAAACACAGCACGTTTCTTTCAGCCGGCACAGTCAAGCCTGTGAAAAGGCGCGTGGCAGGGTGTTAAACCCCCTTGTTCCCTGTGTGGTGCAGGGCAGTTACACCTTCCGGCCTTTGTCTTTTCCAGGCGTGAGTGACATGGTTGCTAGTGGCCTGGGTGGCAGAGGCAGTGGAGGTCACTGCAGGGTGTGCCCCTTGTGCCTGTAACTGGGCTCGGGGTCAGCCCGTGCTGGGTGGCAGTGGGGCAGGACCCTGGCCCCTCAGACAGGCCTGGGGTGAGCAGAGGTGACTGCCCCTGACGGTCTACTCCCCTGAGCTCTGGCGGGGGGCGGGCTCCCGGTACCCCAGCATCTGGCACAGCACCGGCATCTCGCAGGTGCCCTGTGAGCACCTGATGCCTACAGGGAGGTGAGTATGGGCGCGGAGGGGCGATGAGCACGGAGCACCAGGCTGGACGGGGCATGGGGAGCATGGTGGGGAGACAGCTGCTGGGAGGTGCTGACCCTCCGAGATGGAGACAGTGACACAGACGGGGGCCAAGGGGTGGCGGGGCCAGGCTGGCAGGGCCCAGCCAGCACATCCGTGCCCCAATGACTTAGCCTCTCTCCGTCCTTCCCTGTTCCTGCCCTTGCTGAAGCCAGCCGGCCCACTGTTGCCATAGCAACACCAGCCCCAGGCACTCTGAGGGCCAGCTGGGCAGCCGATGGCCCTGGCCAGGCTGAGCAAGCAGGGGGCCCTCAGCTGTCCCCACAGAGGGTGGGACCTGAATGGGAGGGCCTCTCTTCAGAGAAAGGGACGGAGGGAGGTGGGTAGGGGTTCTGCTCAGGGACAAGTACAAAACTGTCCCCGCGACAGGTGGACAGTCCCCAGCCAGGCTGTATGGTAGGAACTCCGGGGGCCAGGCAGAGCCCGCCGCCATCATGCATTCGGTCTTTATGTAGGGCTGTCCACGAGGAGGCTTCAGAGGGGGCCCTGAAAGACGGAGGAAGGGGCAGGGGCCTGGGGCGGGGCTCCAAGAGGCCACCGCAGGCCTCAGGCTGGCCTCCTACCCCGCAGGCCCTCTGAGGCAGAGTCGTACCCCTTACCCTCAGGCCGCAGGACTGCAAAGGTGGCCCTGCACCCTCCAGCTCCCACCTTGCACGCCCAAGAGTGGATGCTGGCCGCTCAGCACTTTGGGCTCCCGCCCAGCTTTCGGGTGGTCACGCTCCCTGTGCTCGGGAACCGTGGGGACTGGCCTTGGCCAGCTGTGGGCCAGCAAGCGTCCACACCTTTATTCTGGGGCTCCTGAAGAGCAAGAAGCAGCTAAGGGAGATGCGGCAGGAAAGCAGACGGTCAGGGTGGGGAAGGGTCACAGCCTGCCGTGGCCAGGGCCCAGGCGTGGTCAGGGTCACTGTGATGCCCCTCGAGAAGGGCTCTCTGATGAAGGGTGACAGCCTCGCACACTCTGTCCCTCTCGGGCGTGGGGAACGTGCTACACACCCGGAGAAGAGCTGGATCCGGCAGCGTTCCCACTTTCCCACGGCCACGAGGCCGACGGCAGCAGCACACAACATGAGGGCACTGGGGCTGGGTGCGGCTTGCGGCACCTCGGATTCACATAGCACCTTTTTCTTCCAAAGGGCCCTTGCCTCTGTCCCCTGGCCATGGCCGTGACCGAGTGAGGCCTTCAGGGCACAGACACAACAGCCCTGAGGCATCACAGAGCAGGGAGGCCGGGACAGAGGCCCAGAGCGATTCCGGGCAGACTCCATGGCGTCCACTTCCCCTGGGCACTCCGCGGCAGGTCTGGCCCGGGCCCTGTGGCCAGCCGCGGTGGGCCGGGCACTCACTGGGCGTTCACTTGGTACTTGAGGATGTAGGAGTAGAAGTTGTGGTTGGCGTTCTCCAGCACCATGACGTAGACCTCCTGGCAGCCGGCCGTGCTGCAGCTGCCCTCCCAGTAGCCCTCGCGGTTCAGGGTCAGGGGCCACGTGTCCTGCCCTTTCACCAGGGCTTTGGCGATGCCGTGCAGCTTCAATTTGAACGGGACGTTCCGGTTGGCAGGGAGCACTCCCGACAGGGGCTCCAGCAGCTCGTTGTCCTGGCCCCAGTTGCCGAAGCTCTCGGGGAACACGGGCCAGCTGACCTTGGTGTTGGTGCAGCACAGCAGGTAGTTGAAGACGAAGACGTAGTTGCCTGGCTCCTGCCTCTTCTTGACGAAGATCTTGAGGGCAAACTTGCCGGCATGGGGCAGCTGGACTTTGAGCTCTGTCCGCTTCTCCCGGTGCAGCTGGAAGATGTAGCGCCGCTGCGTCTCCTCGGTGATGGGCCCGTTGTCCCCGTGCAGGGATGCCAGCACGCTGATGCCCTCCTCCACGCCGAAGCTGACGGAGCAGCGCCCGTCGGTGGTGTGGATGATGGGGTCAGGGTGGGAGGGCTTGGCGATGCCCATCTGCTCCGAGAACCAGCTGGGGCCCACCGGCTGGTGGAGCTCGGCTGGCAGCCGCACGCCCAGGTCCACGTAGTTGCACTTGAGCGTGTACTCCAGCACCGAGCTGTAGATGTCAGAGCTGCCCTTGGCGAAGATCTGCAGCTTGTGAGTGCCCAGGGTGGGCGGGTACACCTCCAGCTTCATGCCGTCCTTCCGGAGGCTCAGCAGCCCGTGCTCCTGCTTGCCGTTGAGCATGAACATGAACAGCGTCGGGGCGCAGCTCTCCACAGTGATCGTGGCCTTCCCGTTCACTGTGGGGACAAAGGAGGGGTCAAGCACGCTGGTCCCCAGTGTGCTGTGCTGCACCTGTCTAGCTCCGGGCTCTCTGGGGGAAGGTGCTCAGACATGTAGCGTTTGCCCATTACTCTGGTGTAAATACTTTAACCACCATCGGCTTCAAGCAACCGAGATGACGTCCCTGCCACGCTGTAGAAGCCAGCTGCAGCGCAGCACTGCACGGGTTATCCTACCCCTTACATGGTCCTCTTAGAGAGCGGGAAGCTGGGAAGTAGGTGGGGGGGGGGTCTCAAGAGAAATAGCCCAGGTGTATGTGCTTACCCACCCATTTGGTTCATGGTAGCTGAAGTTTGCCTGAAGCCTCAGCCTGACCCAGAGCAGGGGAGAGGGCCGAGGGGTGGAAGGCACCACCTCCTCCAGGCCTCAAGACACTTCCTCAGCTCCTGTTCACGTGACATCAGCCACTGCCACATCTAAACATCTCCTTAAAAACGAGTTGGAAGAGCTTCCCTCCGGGGACAGCTCAGGGCATGAGGCTGGGTGGCGTTCTTGCGCCTCCCCGCCCCCACACCCCATGCTTCCCTCTTAGGCACGTCTTAGCCATGTGACTAGAGTGGGACCAGAGTCAGTGGGGTCTCTTGCACCCCTCCTCTCTCTGCCTCTCTCCTTGCCCTGCCATTTTGTCTCCTTCTGTCCTGGTCGTTTTCAGAGACAGGTGGTCAGCTCCCTGGTCTTTGCAGCCCATAAAGACTCTCCTGCCTGGTCCTCCCTGGTTCCCAGGACCACAGGGAGGGCCAGTGGCTTCTCTCTGGAGCTGGCCATCTGCCCCTTGTCCCAGCAACCTTCCTAGCTTGTTCAAAATAAGCATGATGGAAGGAGACTGGTTGCCGGCCCATGCTCATCGGAGCCTCTCCCAGTCCGGGCTACGCTGCTGTCACCGAGGAGGCAGAATGCCGTCCTGCTGGGCTCTAGGACGAGTGCCCCCGACACTTCCAGGCTCATCTGTGGGATGGGATGCACCGGCTCTGGGCTGCTCAGTTGCTCCGTTTCATTCCACGCCCCCCTTGAGGACGAGAGACTCCCTCGGACAGCCCCTCCCCCCGACTTCTTGCTGGGGCTTCTCCATCGCTGGAGGGCTCCCTGCCTTCTCAGACACGGCCAACTCCTCCCAAACGCCTCCCCAGGCCTCTGCGCCCCGCCACCTCTCAGCTGCCCCACTGTCCCTGTCCTACCCTCCACCTCTCAGCTGCCTCACCCAGCCTTGTCTGTCCACCTCTCAGCTGCCTGCAGTGGCCCTGTCCTCTCCCTTCCACCTCTCGGCTGGCCCACTGGGCCCGTCCGGCCCCCCTCAGCTGCCTGCAGTGGCCCTGTCCTACCCTCCACCTCTCAGCTGCCCGACCCGGCCTTGTCTGTCCATCTCTCAGCTGTCTACAAGCCCTGTCTGCGCCCCTCCACCTCTCAGCTGCCCCACCCAGCCTTGTCTGTCCACCTCTCAGCTGCCTGCAGTGGCCCTGTCCTACCCTCCACCTCTCAGCTGCCCGACCCGGCCTTGTCTGTCCATCTCTCAGCTGTCTACAGTGGCCCTGTCCGACCCTCCACCTCTCAGCTGCCCCACCCAGCCTTGTCTGTCCACCTCTCAGCTGCCTGCAGTGGCCCTGTCCTCTCCCTTCCACCTCTCGGCTGCCCCACTGGCCCTGTCCGACCCTCCCAAGTCCTCAGTGGCTCCCTAGGAAGGCTTCTCAGCTCGCCCTGCAGCCTGGTGCTCCTCCCCTCTGCCCTCCGCTGCTGTCCCTTCCTCCCTAGACCAACGGCGGGTTCTCTGCGCTTCGGAGCTACTTTGTCTGTGCTCTTTCTTTACCACCTTAGGCCACCCCACGTAACCTCTGTAGGAAAGTGACTAAGAGCAGTAGGCGGTCTCAGCGCCCACAGGGCGTCCTTGGTTGCAGCTGGGGCGGCTGCACCTGTGCCTCCCCACTCCCCACTCCTAGTTGTAACCCTCCTGTCCCCTCATTTCTGAACTGCAGCTCTGTGGGTGGCAGTGTCTCAGCCTCGGACAGCTTGTGGCCTCCCTGTCCCCTTTGGCATCAGAGGTGGAGGCGAGCAAGTCTTTCCCAGATCCCTGTGCAGTTCACCTGGGGTCCTGGAGCACCACGCAGCCCTAGGGCCCTCACGAGAATGTTCCCTGGTCCCTCCTGGGCTACTTCTTGGGCCACAATCAAACTGGAGATCCTGACTCAAACAGAGAGGGCCTCCTGGGACCCCAGGGCATTCTCTCAGATCCTCCATGCCCTGCATGCCTCGAGGTCTTCTGCACACTCGTACCCAGGCCCGCATGAGGCCCCACTGTAACTTCCTGACTGCAAAGAAGTCCCTGTGCCTGGTATGAGGGGCCGGGCTCCGGGTCTAGCGCTGTGGCCATGGGTCTTGTGGAGCCATCTCCTCTGCCTCTCCCAGGCCCCAGAGTCTGACCGAGGGCTCAGCAAGGTGGGTCAGCCCAGACATCCCCACCTCAGCAAAGGCCTGCCCGTCTCTGCTCCCAGGGTCTCCACAGGCCCACGGGGGACGCAGAGTCCCCTGGGGGACCGTCTCCCAGCCTGGCCCTCCTTCAGGGCGTGTCTCTGTTGTGATTAGCTATGGGAGCATGGCCGTGTCAGGCCTGTCCTCTCTGCTGGCCCGGGGCCCTTGGGAGGGGACCAGCCTGTGCTGCTTCCTGCCATGTGACAGTGCCTGGCCCAGGGATTTCCGCGGTTGGGCGCGTCAGGTAACTGGGAAGAACTGTGCCCCCAGGCCTCTGCAGGCTTCCCTGACCCCTCCTTGCCCTTCCTCCGTATTCTCCCATCTCCCCACCTCCCCATCCTGGCGCCCTCTTCCTGCCCCTGCTTCTGCCCACCTCAGGGTCCCTATCTGCTTCCCTCCCCTCCCCACCCGAAGGCAAGGAACTAGCGTGAGGAGACTGTAGTGCATACTTTGAACATGCATCAGGTTTCAGAAACTGGGGTTCGTGTTTCTGTGTCTCTTAGAAAGGCACTCCACTCAGTGTCACTGGTCGGCAGTGGCCGTGGCCTGACCGACCGCCCTGTGGTCAGTGGCCCACCACGGGCTGGCCAGGCTCTCCCCAGTTGTGAGTGCGGAGAGCGCGTCTCCCAGGGAGCAGCCTCCTGTGGGCACCTTGGCGGGGCTGCCAGGAGTTGCAGGTGTAAAGAGCACGTAGGAGCTCAGCCGCCTGGGTAAGGAAGTCACTGCGAAGCCGGAGGGCACGCCAGCTGCTTCCGACTGGGGCACCTGTGCTCCCTGGCGCCGCCATCCCCTGGCAGTGTGGCGTAGAGCTCCTGTAGGCCACCCCATGTTACTGGCCCACGTGAGCCCATGTGTCCTGTCCTGGGCCTGCAGAGACCCTGAGAGCAGAGACGGTGCCCACAGGGAGTCCTTGGTTGTGGCTGGGGAGGCTGTGCTGACCTGGCACTGAGACCCGGACCAGGCACTGGGACCTCGGGGGGCAGGGGGAAGGGCCCTGTGAGTCCCACGGCCACAGTTCTGGACCCTCGGCCTGGCCACCAGAATGCACACACACACCCAGCTGCCTCCGTCCCCTGGAGAGGCGGCCACGCTGTGTCCTGCACTGTTCTACCCTAGGGACGCTACCTGAGAAAGGCTGAATCTGGCCACCTGGAAGGATTGGGCCTTGAGCATGCTGAGTTGAGCCCTCACCTGGGGGCACTTGGGATTTTCGGGGGGCTTACTGAGCCCCCTCTCTGCTCCATCGCCCAGAACACACCCATTCCCGCCTCCTGGCTGAGCCCAACTCCCAAGACCAGCTCGGTGGCCACGCCCCTCAGGAAGCCAGTCCTGCCCTCTGTCCTGGGAGACCCTGCGGTCCAGACCTCTTTGTGAGAACACACCACAGGGGTCTGAGCCGCGGGGGGCTTCTGGGCTGGAGCTGAGCGCCCTGGGGCCCAGACAGCTGGGTCCTGCTGGCAGCTGAGACTCATCCAGCTCTGGGCAGGCTGGTCTTGTATCCAGCCCTCGGGTGAGGAGACCTGCAGCCTCTAACACCTCCCCTTCGCGGTTCGTGCTGGTGTGAGGGGGCCCCTGTCCCTGCAGTTGTGACCTGTGGCACCTCCGGCCCCATGGCCTGACACCGCCTAGCAGCCCTGTAGACCCAGGCACTTGGGGAGGGCCTGGCACGGAGCTCGGCCCGGGCCCCAGGCAGGCTGCCCGCCTTGCACTAGGCCCTGGGTTACCTGTCCGGATGACGGGCGTCTCGGGGCGCGCGCTGAGCATGCCCTTGTTGTAGAACTCGCTCTTGTGATACATGCTGCTCTCGAACTGCCTCAGGGACTGCGGGGGCTTCAGCAGCTGCCAGTTCTTGTTGTCCGGGAAGTGGTCCTCGATGAACAGGGCGGGGTGCGTGAGGAAGTAGAACTCGTTGTAGCTGTGGGCGAAAGCTCGTCAGCAGTCGGGGGTGAGCAGCCTGACCACCCGCACCCCGTTCTGCAGGGGGGTCACAGCTCTGTGGGAGCTCTCTTCTGGGGGTGCAGCCATAGGTAGGGTCCCGCCACACCTGCCTGGGAAGAGGTACCACCTCCAATCCTGCTGTGGGCACGGAAGACTCCTGGGTGGCCACTTCCAGAAACTGGAACCAAGGCGGGGTCTGAGGGCCGCCCCCCCCCTTTTTCTTTTTTTAGGTTTTTGCCATTAGGTGCATGCACTTGCCAGAGAGAGACACACAGATACGGAGAGAGGGAGAGAGAGAAAGCACCCCCAACCCCCGGGGGATGGACAGACTGCAACCTTTTCTCCTCCATTCTCTTCCTGGGTTCTTGGGCATGCACAGACAGGTGCTTGGCATGAGTTTCAAGCCACTGGGTCCGGGACTCGAATCACAGTTGGCTATGTGGGAGTCCAGAGCCTTAGCCACCAGGCCACCTGCCGGCCTGAGGCCCCTTCCAAAAGAAGGCCACCATCTACAGCTGTGGCCTGCTCTGAGCACCCTAGGGTGTCCGGAGGAAAGGGGCTCCTCCAGCTTTCAAAACCTAACAGAAATCTGAAGGGTGCCCATGCTAACCGTGAACCAGGTGCCAGGCAGCAGAGCTGTAGACAGCGGAGAGACAAAACGCCCGAACCCACTACCTCCACCCACCCGCCCTGCCTGCCTGTGAGGCTTTGCAGCAGGGCCCTGCTGTGACCAGAGGGCCGGCTCCCGGCGGTCGGCGATGGACATCAAGACAAGAATGGGGGCTCCTGTGGACATGGGGGAGGCTTCGCTGCACCTGAGGGGTGCGTGCAGAGGAGCGGAGGTAAAGGAGGTGTCTGACCGTGCTAGCCCACGTGGGGGCACGTGTGCACCTGCGGGGGTGTCCAGTTTAAGCTGCACGTCAGAGAGAGCAGCTCCTTTTCCCGAATGAAGCAAAATTGGCACTGATGGTGCCACGGTCCATGAAGAATACTGTGCACGGCCTTGGGTTACACCAGGGCTGGTCAGTGCCCGGAGGACAGAAATGCCCCAGTCCCTGCTCCCCAGCCACGGGGCCCCACCATGGCCCACAGTGATACCGTGCCACCCACACTGGCCTCCCTGCGAAACTGGCCCTTTCCTCGGAGACGGGACGCGCTCTTACTCAGCACGGAGGACAGGGAGCCTGAATCCAGCTCTGGCACCAGAGCCTCAGCCTGACGGGGGCCCACGGGTAGCTGGGAAAGCACCCCGGCCTGTCTTCCTCACCGCGGCCATGGGCTGTCTTCCTCACCCATGTGGCCATGGCTATGTGGGAGGCCAGCGCCTTAACCCCCAGGCCACCTGACGTGCACCATGGGCAGGCCCTGGAGGGGTCAGTGCTTGGGTGGAGGGAGCAATCGAGAGCCAGAGGAGGGACTTAGGGTGGGTGACGCAGGGTCCGCCACAGCTGGCCCGGAGCTGACTCACTGCAGAGGCCGCTGGGGCGGACAGGGGCCCCTGGCTCCCCTTCCCTCCTACCTGTCTCCTTTACCCTGTGGCTCTCCCATTTCCGGTGCCCGGACCCCGCAGAACGCAGACTTGTACTTACAGGAAGGTGAATTTGGAGGTGGTGGTGTCCACCAGGCCGCTGCCCCAGGTGCTGTCCACCAGGTGCCATCTCCCATCCAGGTACACGGCGTTCCAGGCATGGTCGAACTCCCCAGAGAAGCTCTGCCCTGTCCGGTAGCCGAAGCCCTTGGAGTAGCCGGGCACTGATATGCACTGCACTCCAGCGATCCTGGGGAGGGACAGGGTCCGTGTGTGCCCAAGGCCCCAGGCATCAGCTGTCGATCTGCCCTTCTCTGTCTCTACAGTTTGTTTCCTTGTTTATTAACGTGTGGCCAATTAGCTGCACACACAGAGTGAGGACGGCGGAGCAGAGCCACCTCACGGGTCTGCCATGCGGTTGCCACGGGGGTTCCTGCTTCTCGTGTGCAGTGCATGGCTGCTGTGCCATGGAGCCGGGCCCTGTCCTTGCTCTTGCCTCTCACACCCTCATCTTCACAGACTCGAGGGCTTTCCTCTCTGGGGACCAGGGGGCCAGGGCTGGCGGGTCCTGCAGGTGCAGGCGGGCCACGGCCCCTGCTGTCTGCTCCTCCTTCCAGATGGTCCAGAACGTTCTGACCTGTCTCTCCCCACAGCGCGCTCGACACTCTGGGAGCAGCTCTTCAAAGGAAAAAATCTCATGGCAAGGATGAGGGTGGCTTCAAGAACATGGACACCGGGGAATGGCAAGGACGTGAAGGAAACCTACATGCAGGGCGTGAGACAGCTTCTGGGGGAGCCAGGGCACCTCACGACCCGTGGCAGATGAATAGGCCAAGGTGACGTGTAGCTAGTGTGAGGCTGCAGAGGACAGTGGGCACCCCCACCTCCACTACAGCCTCTGCAGGTGTCCACATGGGGACCCAATGGCGGGCAAGCGGTGCCTCAGGCCCTGGCCCACAGGATTGGCCACTGCCAAGACCACCATGTCAGACCTCCAGACATGGTGCAAGAGCCGCCATGGCACTGTGGTACACTACAGTCACTCGTTGGCCACAGTCCTGGAGTCCCCGCAGCTGTCCGGAGGCGAGCAGACACGCCGACCAACCAGCCTGAGCGCCAGGCTCCCCTCCGCAGTGTGCTTGCCCACTGCGACCACGCTGGCACCACTTCCTGGGAACCCGGCAGCGAGAGACAGGTGCAGGTCACCTCTGGAGACCATAACAAAACAGGCATTTGGCGCTAAAACTCTGAGGGGAGGCCTGTGGTGTGGGCACTGCCCAAGGCCAGAGCAAGACCCCTGACTGTCCCGCCGGGGCCAGCTGGCCTTCCTTCTTGGCAGCCTTGCCCCGTGTGACAATTGATGGGTGGACAATGTGTGGACAATGACACTGCTTGCCTGGCCGAGGGGACCTGCTGGGCCTTTGTGGGTTTAGGAAAAGGCTCCCCTTCCTCAGGGCATTTTGCTGTGGAAAACGGCTCGGTGAACACACTTGTGACCTCGCAGGTGTGCACGGAAGGCCTGGGCCCGTGGAGGCGCTTCTGTGAGCACTGCACGACTGCCCTGTCCCCCACACGGCTGCTGCCCAGTCTCCCGCATGGCTGCCCGGTCCCCCGCACGGCTGCCCCATCCCCCACACGGCTGCCCCCCTCCCCGCACCGCCGCCCCC